ATATAAAATAGTGTCTGGTGGTGGTCGAGGAATAGATTGAGAGTTATGATACGATTCTGATGTTTTTTTTAAAGATTTTGTTAACTTCAGTCTTAAGTAGTTAATAATAGTAAAATTTTATTAAAAAAAATATTTATTATATTTTTATAATTTTAATACAATAATTATGTATTTTTTTAATAATTTTTTTATTTATAGATACTTAAACTCAGCTCTAAGGACTGAAGTTAATAACATTCTTTTTTTAATTGATTTATATGGTTGAGAATTCTTATCAATAATAATAATTAAGAAAACAATAATAAAAAAAAATTACACATAAATAAAAAATAGAAATAAATAATATAATATTCAACAGACCTATTGTAATGATAAAGATAAAGATGAGTAAATCGACTTAATATTTTAACATTATAACTGCAAAGAATAATTTTTTAAATTTCTATATTTTCTTATCTTAAAAAAAGTTATAATTATAGGATTCAGTTAAAAAATTTCAAGCTTTCTATTATACATATCTATGTTTATTATAACCATTATTTGAGTATTTTTATTTTAGTCGTACGAGATATAATTTTCATATACGATTGTTGGAGGAACCTTAATTTTACCTATCTCAAGGTACGAGAGAACTCTTAACTGAATGTAGTATTTTATGTTGGACAGAGTAAAAAATTAACAAGTTTATGTACAAATCTCAACAACTAAATTAATGAGTATAGTTCATGGATTAATCTGAAAAGTTATTATTATTATTATTATTATTATTATTATTATTATTATTATTATTTAACTATATACTTTATTTTACTATTTATTTATTTGATTGTTATTTACTAAATATCTGTAAAACATTAAAAAAAAGTGAGTTAGCAATTGATTTGTCGATAATAAAAGTTAAAGTTTAATTGTTAAATTAATTAGCAACTAAAATGAAATAGAAGCTATAAACCTGGTTGTAAAGTATTTTAGCGATCGAATTGTCAATTGGTCGCAGAAATTTTAAATTAGCGATTGAATTAAGTCACTAAATAATTTTGTGTTATTTTTTAAATCAGCAACTAAAATATTTAGTGAGTATTTTGCTCACAAAATAGCATAACGATAACAAAAAATTGTGATCTACTGGGTGGTTACATATTCGTTAGTAAACACGATAGATATAATAGTTGTGAGGGGAGTGTTGATAGATTTTGTTGACTTATAAATTCAACTAACCCTGCCTAACAAATATGAATAGTTTTTGACTAAAAGATTATTCTATATATTGGTTTTTCTTTATCATAAAATTTGATTTTTACTAAAAAATAATAAACATTTATATTATAAATATAAATTTTATTTGTTAATATATAGATTATTTAACTTGATTAGGAATTTTTATTAGACAAATAAGTTCAAGTGAAAATACTAGAATCTAATAAAGTATGAGTTGAGTTACGGAATTGTAATATTAAAATCTAATTCAATTCAATAGATACAATGATCCATCACACATAAGTCTTTTTTTATGTATAGTTTTGATTTATTCTTAATTTGTTGGAAGTGAAGAATTAAATATTTACAGGTGATTTTATATTTTAATTTTTAAATATTTTTTACTGCTTTACGTTATAAGATAAATATTAAAATTTTTACTTTATAATTTATATAAAGTTTTTAAAATTTATTTTTTTATTTGTATTGTTTTAATTCTTTATTTTAAATAAATATTAAACTATTGATATTATACTTTGTATTAAAATGAATAATTTTTCATGCTTCTTATCTAAATATTTTTGCCTTAATTCGTGATCAGATTGGTTTGAGTCTGGTAAATTTTATTTTATTTTATTTTTATCGAAATTGATTCATCTAACTTAAGAAATTTTTAGAGTCATGTCATTTTTTACATCAAAATCCACTTTATTTAATTCATAAACATTCCTATTAGTTTGGTAGTTAAATTTTCTCGTTACATCTTAATAACTAAATTAGTGACTAATTTTGTATTTAAATTTTACGACTGCTTAACTCAACAGTTAAATTACTTTGTTACATTTTAATGACTAATTTCATATTTTATTTTTTTTGCCAACTTATTTAATGCTAATTTACATTTTGACTGAATTAGCAATTAACCTCATATTTTATTTTTATAACTAAAATATTTAGTTATTAATTTGGTCGTTAAACTAACTTATTGTCTTTTATTATTACTAAAATTATTAGTCACAAAATTACAAATAATTTTATTTGATTGCTAAATTAGTCACTAATCAACAAATTCCTATCAGTGGTATGATTGAATATTTCAAGTTGACTATATGACTTTTTAGCCTTTTTCTCCATACTCCGTAAACTACATGTTTGCATTCAGCATGTTTTTCCGTACCTGAGGCATTTGCTACTTTTTCTTTTTGAATAAAATCTAAAAGAACAGGCAAATGATTGAAACTGACTGCTGGTGGTGGTGGATTGGCATAAAAATTAAATATAAGCTTTATCATTAATCAAGTATTTATATTTGATTCTCAAAAGTTGTCATGAAATTAACACCACAACACAAAAAAATGCACTAAATATATTATATGACGAAAAAAAAGCTTGTTTAATGTGGCATATATATCTTCTCTCTCAAAACAAAACCACACAAAGATGTTAAAAAATAATAATTTATAGTATCTTATAATTTAAATATTATTTTTTCCATACCTTTTATTTTAAAATTTAAATATTTTATATTATTATAACGAAAATTCTCCATTTTTTTATGCATAAGGAACATAAACTAGAAAAGAAAATCTAAACACGGTCAACGGGAATTCCTATATTTATCTCCCAACAGTTGCAAGAAGATAAAAGAAAAGGAGACAACAAAAGAAGTGATGTTATTGAGAGAGAAGAATTAATATTTATACAGAATTTGATACACTGATAAATATTATTTTGACTAACAAATTATGTTACATAATAAAAAAGTTATTTTTATTGCATGTGTCAACGTCTTTATGTTTTTTGGATTCTGATAAACAAGTTAGTCATGATCGGAGAAGGCGCTCGCTTGGATCAATTTAAAACAACAAATAAAAAAATCTTCAATTATATTACTATCATTGAGTTTAAATTGATTTGAAAAAATAATTAAATTAAATTAAATATAATCCAATATCAAATGCAATTAAGATTGGATAAATTTTTTTATAATTTTATTTTTAATTTAATTAAAAGACAGTATATAAATTATTTTATCATTTTTATACTATTTTTAAATAAAAAGTTATATATATATATATATATATATATATTTAATTAGATTGGTTCAGTTTTTAAAATAGGATTTGAAATTGAATCCAATATATAATAAAAAAATAATTTTTATGATTTTATTTATTTATTTGATATTCAGTTAATTTAATTTTTATTTATTTGATAGGCAAATTTTGAATTTACATTGGATTGAATCTGTTGGTTAGCACTCCTAATTCATAGAGGCCCTTAATTAATTAACCACTCTTTCACGTACATAACGCCAAGTGAAGAATTTGGGCCAGGATCATTGTTTCTTTTTCTTGTTGGCATCTCTGGCAAATATCAACTAACGACATTATCCTTTCATGTCTAAGCTGGTTTCATTGCCACAATTTCACAGACACAGCCTCAACAGAAGGATATAGGTATTCTTGGGAGCAAGCAAATTCCAAATCCAACCCTAATTCTCTGGGAATGGCTCTACTATTTTCATAAGCTAAGAATTAATATCCAGATTTTGCTCACTCGTTTCCACCACTATTTTTCTCTCAAACTAGACAATCCGGTACTTGATCTTTAATTAAGTCCCAACCCCCTTACACGGTGTTATTATTAATCTACATGTCTTTTTAAATTATTTTTTTTTGTAAAATAGTAACCATTAAAATTAATCATTTTTTATGAATTCCAAAAGACTATTACTATTTTTTAAATGAAAATTTAAAATTCAAATGTTAAATAAAAAATTAGGATATTAATAAAATACATGGTGTTTGATATTTTTTACTAATGTTTTTTTAATTATTATTATATTAGAAAGTATGATAATTCACATACTTTTTAATAAAAATATACATATTTGAATTAAATCGAATGGGCAGAACCCGTCAAGAACAAGAAGGTAAGACTTTTGACACGAGTCTTGGTCTGGTATGACTTATGACCTTTGAGTAGGTTAGAATTTTGAAGGTTAACTTCTTCATTTGTTTTATGCATTCAATGCTGAATCCGCAATCATAGCCATCATTCACCAATGGTCCTCAGCAGCAGACGCTGATTCGTTGATTCCATTCTTCACTCCTCATTTTTTTATCTTTACTTTCGGCGAAAAGGACTATAAAAGAAAAAATGAAAAATAAAAATCAAAGGGGACAATTCTTCAGGTTCATTGCGCCGATGCAGCATGCGCCCACCACAAAGCTACTTTGCACAATTTATTCGCTTTCCACCTATGTGTTATGCCAGATATTTAGGAGTCCTTCTAGACATTTGTTAAGAATTTGAAAATAAAAATGAAGCTTATTAATTTAAAAGTAAACATTTTATTTACCTTCTTAACAAGTATTCTTAATTTCTCCATTAATAATATTTTATTTTAGGTTTAACAAAAAAATTAAATGAAGGATAAAGTATTTTTACTTGGTAAATTTGAATTCATACCAGTCACTAACACCGATCAATATTAGTTTAACAAGTAAAATTTGATCGATATAAATGCTTTAAATTCACAAAGAATAGAGTCATATTTAAATTCACAATTTAACGTTTAGTAATACTAAAATAAGAGGAAATACAGAGAAATTAAGAAAAATGTGATATGGTTTTAAGAGGGTAAGAAAACGAAAAGAATTGGATGGGAAGGAAGGAGAGGATGGTAAAATGGGAAAGGGAGTTTGAATGGCATGATAAATGTGTGCTATGTTGACGTTGGGCAGTTAAGTGCGGTGGGAAGAGAAGAGAGTGGAAGCTATTTATAAGAGAAAAAAGGAAACGACGGGCGTGAAATCCCAAAATTTGCTATTATCGGGTGCGTGTCGTTATTTGCTTTCAATTTTCAATCGCCGTGGGGGCATTCAAACAAATTTCATTCTGAAATTGACCCCTCACCCTCTTTTCTTTTCAAATCATAATCATTGTATTGTATAGATTAGATAGAAGAGGGGGTAGCATTGCATTGGCATTGGCATTGGCATTGGCATTGGAGGGCTGGGTTTGGACGTAGAATGAGAACGGATAGGTGGGCTAAGAGTATGGGAAGGATTTCAAGGATTGGGAGTTTTGCAATTGCTTCATCCATTAAGGAAAACCAACAACAACCTTGTATTACCTGCACCACTTTTAACATTCTCGCTCCCATATACAAGCGCATCAACCATGAGGTTATTATTATTATTTTTTAATTTTCTTAATATTCTAAATTCCTCTATATTATTTTATTTTATTTTATTTTATTTGGGTTTTATGAATGAAAGCAGGACCCGAGTTGTCGCGAGAGCGATTATAGAACGTATTGGTTGGCCAGGAATCACAGAATATTGGATTGGTTGTTGAATGAGAGGTCTTCCATTATTTGTCTCCAGGTTTGTGATTGTGTGCTGAAATTGTTTGGAGTGACGTGTGATGTGAGATTCTATAATATAATGGGTTTTTGCAGGAGTTTTGGGTTGGGAACGAAGAGCTTGTTAATTTGTATGAGAATAGACTTGGCGACGCTGGTTATGTCAGTTTCAAGCTTGGAAGGACCAACAACCGTGGAGACGGTATGCACATTCTCCCTCAATTCCATAACACCTTTTTTCCATTATTTCTTTTCTCAGAATTTCATCTTTTTCATTATTGCAAATAAATACCAATTATATAATACAAGCGGGTAGTTCCCTCTTTTCCACAAATATTATATCACTCTTTAAACAGCGCCGCCGTTAGGACATTAGTCAAAGAATTTGAAAGTAAATTTTTTAATTGGAAATTGTGATTGATTGCATTGGAAATTATGGTGAAGGTATATTTATTATATTTTTAATAAAAAATTATTTTTAAAATTTTAAATTATTGCCCTTAAGACACACGTATTTGTCAGATTATATTGGTAGATCCGTATTTCTCAGATTATATTGGTAGATTCCTATCACGTTATAGTTATATACTTTAAAATTTCGTGTATATCTTTCTCTTCATTAATATCCGTAAATTTTTACAAGACTCTATCCCTTCAATGTGTATGTTGTTATGTTGAGAGAGAGAGAGAGAGGAAATTTTTGTTACCACGTGAAAATTCAACCGAGAGAATCCGTTCCCATTTGGGGTCTGATGAACAAAATTATTGAAATTGGAAAACAGGAATACCGCGCATGATGGATGGGTACAGACATTTAAAATTATTTTATTCAGGAAAAATATGTTCTGTTTTTAATTTTATTGCGAATGAGGCTTTCAGTCAATTAAATTGTGATTGGGGTCTTATAATGTTTGTTATCTTCCTAGTACTTAGTTTTGTTCCAGAATTGCCTTTTGAAAATTTAGGCACAAAGTGCAAAATACCAATTCTCATATAAACTCTTGGGTCTGCAGGTCTTCTGATAGCAGTTCAAAAGGAATACTTCAATATTCTTAATTATAAGGAATTGCACTTCAATGACTGCGGGGATCGTGTAGCTCAGTTGTTACATGTTGAACTAGCTTCTCCGTTTTCACAGTGGCGAAACAGTAATGTTAGGCAGGAAATTCTAATTGTGAACACTCATCTGTTATTTCCTCACGATTCAACTCTATCCCTTGTACGACTGCAGCAGGTACCTAAGAATTTAAACGTGGTCTCCAATTTAAGCACATACCAATTATAAAGCTTGGTGTCTCACTTAGATTGACCTACCTTGAAATTTTCTTTTCTGTGCAGGTCTACAAGATACTTCAATACGTAGAATCATATCAGAACGATTTCCAACTCAAGTCAATGCCAATCATGCTATGCGGGTAAACTGCAAACCATGTACTTCTCTTATTTAAAATACTTGAATCGGTTTTTATTTATAACTTTTTATTCATCAGTGACTGGAATGGAAGCAAACGGGGACATGTCTACAAGTTCCTGAGGTCTCAGGGCTTTGTATCATCTTATGATACTGCACATCATTACACTGATGCAGATGCTGACAAGGTCATATATTTAGCATTGCCGTACAATTTTTCTTTTTATTTTTCTGCTGGACAATATGCCCTCACTCACATTTATTAACATTGTGTCAATGCAGTGGGTTAGCCACCGCAATCATCGGGGAAATATCTGTGCTGTTGATTTTATTTGGCTACTAAATCCTGACAAATATCGAAAACTACTAAAAGCAAGTTGGAGTGAAGCAGTGTTTGGAATGTTCAAGGTAATCATAAAGCATTAGGACCTAAACTTAGTTATTAAGTGTGATAATTTTACCATCTTTGCAAGGAATTTGAACATATATATCATTAGACCACAAGTGTTTCCTATAGGTTTAACATTATTTTCCTTTTAGCGAAAGTAGAATCGGATAAGGTAAAACTTCCAATGCTGGACAAGTATCTTGATATTATGGTTGTCTTTCTCCTAAAAATTAATACACCCGATTGGTGTATTAGATAAATTGTTAAAAGACAAGACTGTGTCAGGTACAGACATACTGTTGGTGTAATGCTTCTTCATGCCTCCATTTCACTGTAATTTATCTATATGGAGTTTTTAACCAACCATTATTTATGAGGGTAGAAAAGATGTAATTATCAAGTCAAAACTATTCCTTTTTTATTTATATTTTGTTGAACTGAAATGATATTGACAGTAAGTTTCTCCATTTTTAGTACCTATTGCGGAGAGCTTCACTGAATGAGAGTGATGCATTCGCCTTTCTAAAGGCCGACAATGAAGATTGTATTACCTACTCTGGTTTCTGTGAAGCACTTAGGCAGGTATGGTGCAGTATTAACTGTAGGATGAACATAAAAGTTCAGTTAATGCATGTGATTGTCTGAGAAATCCTGGTGCTTATAGGGGTTTTTATCATTCTGTGCAGCTCAATTTAACTGGTCATTGCTATGGGTTGACTGAGGAAGAGATAAAGGACTTGTGGCCCCAAGCAGATGTAGATGGAAACGGTGTTCTTGATTATAAAGAATTTCTGGTAAAGTCTTTGACATTAATTAGCTATTACCATAAATATTAAACAAAAAGACTCCAAAGTCTTGAATTTATTCAGTAAATATTGTACATTGGCAGCAAATGACTAGAGGTTGTGAGATGAAAATGCTTTTCTACGTAAGGCATATAGTAATGCACTGATGAGTGATGCAGCAATGTCAATCCGCATTTTTGTTTTCATGTCATCAGACATAAACATGACAACCAAGAAGTTCTGTCATGTTTAATCCATGGTAGCTATTGCTAGCATTTGTCTTTTGATCCGGAGGGGATGCTCCAACAAGAACAACTTAACCTGTACAGACATTATAAAAAAAATATCATTTAGTGAAGTAAAATCTTTCTGCATCATAGAATGGCTTGAAAATCCCTTTTTATTGTTTGTATTTAGCAATGCTTATTTGATACATATAAGTGACAGTAAGATAAGGCTTGCTTGTTATTGTTGTTAGCAGAGTAGGCAATGAAATTCCATTTAATCTTTCCAGTGCTTTCTTGTTTGTTGGCATGGTCTTCATATTATGTGGATGCAGCAGCATATCTGGAATTCAACAAGTCCAGATCAGATAGATGACAACAAGAATGGAGAACTGGAAGACGGTTCAAAGGATGCACTGGAGCAAACAATTGGTTTTAGTGTAAAAAATGCAGTTCTGTTCCCTCCAGAGGTCGAGAAAGGTAGATGGCCTGAAGATTACTCCCTTTCTGATCATGCTCGTCTCACTGTAGTTTTCTCACCAATAAGAATGCCATGCTCCCAGTTGATTTGCTAACAATGCTTTTGGCTGCTACAGCTTAGGTTTTAGAATTAAGACTTTTGTACATATATGTCACAGTAAGGAACGGGTGAAGCAGTGGAACGAGTAAGGAAAGATACAAGAGTTCTTTTCTGGGGAGATTTTAAACAGCCCTGTGTTGTGATTACTGCACTATCATTCGCCAGAAGTGATTTCACACTTTGACAGAGAGCACAAGTGCTCTAGTATCCCTGGCATTGCTGATGACATCTGCAGTAAGCAACACTCGTCACCCAGCTTGTTTTCCCATTTATTCTTCTCTGGTGAAAGATTCGACAAACGGAAGCAAAAAGAAGAACTATCTGTATAGTTGTTGTATAGCTCTTAGGCATCAAACCTTTTTTTGTAGCTTTGGTAAGATGCACCTCTAGGTAGAGCTTTCTTGAAATAGAGGGAGTTCAGACACATTGTAACTTGTAACATATTACTTTTGATATAGTTGTGACAAATTCAAATTGTACAAAGTTCTATAAACTAGTTTCTCTTGTAACATATGTATATTGCAAACTCTTGTAACATATTTTAAACTATAATTTTTTTCGACAAACTGTGTTTATTGAAGTTACTAGACCATGAATTAATATTGGAAATGAAAAGTTAAGAAACGATAAATTAACGAACAAATTTAATTTAAGAAGGAAGTTACTCCTTTTTGGTGGTGAGTTAACAGGTGACAGAAACACCTGCCGTGTCATCTCTTAATACCCGCGGTGTTCTTGTGGGGGTGGGGCAAGAACATCTATAGACTATGCGCCCCAAAACCCAAAAAACATGGCCCATATCATGAAGGATGTTTTTATGTTCTTCGCGTAGCAAAACCACAGATATTAATCTGTTACGCTCTACAGTGGATTGTCATTTAACAATAACATTAGGAGTTAGGATCAGTTATTCCAAACACTTTCATTTTCTTGGGGAATACTAACTTCTAGAATCAAACCGTTAAGAAGTATTTATTTTAAGGTAACATATTTACATTTTTAGAAATAACTTCTCCTTGAAAAACTACTACTAAGAATGTTATTTTTGGGTAAATTAAGAAACATGTTTGGCTAAATTTAAATATCTTTTAAATTTTTTTCAAAATTCAAATCATGAAAGAAAAAATAAAAGTGAGAATGGAAGTTACAAATTAAGGTATATTATAACATAATATTCTCGTGAGAATGTAATATTTCCACCCCCTCAGCATATGAATAAAACTCAATTAAAATAGTAAGGTGACTCATTCTTGAAAATTAAATATGCCTTAAAAAAGATTTAAAACTTATAACAAAGGCGAGAATACTTCATTTCCGAATTCATATTTCCGAGAATAATTTTACAACTTAAAACAAACACATTCTTAACTTTTCTGGCTAACAAAATAACTAACCCTAAACAATTTAAGATGGACAAATGGCATGTTAGTTATTAATTTACCAGACAAAAGACAATGAAAACACAAACATGTGTGCATGGTGCACACAATTAATTGAGAACCTATTTGAATACTAATATAATTATTTTAATGTATTTCTAATAATATAATAAATACGTCAAAATTTAACACGATAAGATTTAAATCTATTTTCCAATAATTAATTTCCTTTTTTATTTGCAACATTTTGGTGGTTGAAAAGACAATGAAGAATTAGGTAATACGATTTATACTTATGTGTTTGATTTTTATTTTAAAAATAGTTTTTCTGTTATTAAAAATAAAATATTTTGTGGGAGTATGCTTAATTTAATTAAGAGTTGGTAAGTGTCATGCAGTCCTTAATTGAGTATTGTAGCCTTTCCCTGTTACTGATTTACATGTTGATAACAAATTTTGGTCATGGACAAAAACCATACCCAAAGATCAATTGATGTAAAAAGAAACACTTTTTATGTTTTTTCTGTAAAGAATGATGGGAGCACGTTAAATGGTAGGAATTTTTCGAGATTTTTTACGTGTATATCGCAATCTATTGCAGGTAATTAAGTAGCGAATATTTTGATGTTGGACAATGTAAAGTTGGAAGCTTGTATATCGAAAATCCAGCATTCTAAATACGTATTGAATGTGTTGGGCAGTATCTGTATCCCTTAGCAAGCAAAAGCGGTCAAAAAATATGACTGGCTTTCAGCCGCAAATTTGTGATATCAAGCTTGAGCCTTGTGTCAATCCACTCTCCATGCTTTAGCTACCTTTATTAAAGTTAGGTTCTCCTAACCCTTTTAAATGTAAGATCAAGATTTCTTTCTTCCCACCCCTTTTCCTAGGAATTTGCAAAGGATTTAAAAAGTACTTTGAACTTAAATATTTGAGGCAATCCTTACAAAAGCATTAATTTTTTTCCTTTTTTTTTCCAGTGCTTGGAGGGGCAATCCTACACTCCACACCGAGTTGTTAATTTGTTATTTCCTGATACTTTTAAAGAATAATTTATAAACACTTATATACAAAAGAAATCCAAAAGGCTTTGTAGTGGGATTGCATCGCAGGGTTACTATCTTGCCTAGTTCACTGTAGGCTACACTGCATGTGTGGTTCACACTTCTGTGAATGCAAACTGGAAAATAAGACTTTCAGATGCACTTGTATACACAGTATTTCTTACTGCATGTGATCTGACATACGTTTCCATCAAAAACAAATAAAGCCCAAAATTTATACTTTTAGGCGATTAATATGGGGTGCAACAAACAAAAAGGATTGAATTCAGGTTTTATTTCAATTCACTTTTGACACATGCATTTTTTTCCTTATTGATCTCACACAGATAGTCAATATCAAATTGGAATTTTTCATGTAAATCAAATAGCATTAAGTGGCAGCCGTATAGGACAAATTGCGTAAAGTTTGGCATTTGCACAACTTCAAATGTGACTTGTTAACCCATATAAAGTAAAAGTAAGAGCAAACACCTCTCTTTTACAAGTTGAGAGTGGGCAACGTATTTCCAAAGATAATGTGAAAGTCTCAAATTGGCGATGGTTAATACGTCCAAAACTCAAATTCCTTCTCTTAAAGTTGTACGAAATTTCTGTTAAGGAAAAACTACAACTTTTCAATTTTATAAATTTTTAAGCTTGTTCTATACACATACAACATGGCTAGTTAACCTCGATCCAACAGTTATTTCTACATAGTCTATCAAAAGAAAATCCTTTTGCCAAAGGAGCTAACAATCAGCAATAGCTGTAGAACAGAAATTTTGCTGGTAAATTGTTGGATTAATTAGAGTGTTAATTTGAGTTATGTGTGTGTATGTCCAAAAGTCAGATTCAGTTCTGGTCAGTTAAACTTGCAATTAACCTTATTACTTCTTATGTAAATAATAACACTAATTTGAGCTTTAGTTGTCGAGAAAAGAATTGGGAATGAAGCTGCTGATGGCAAAGGTGAAGTTGTAGCTTAGCTCTAGAGCGATATAATTTTTTTTAGTAATTTGTAGTTATATACTTAGGTTGGATTTGGTTTCTCCACCATTAAACAAGATGTCAATAATTTAGTGCAGTGGAGTGGTATACCTTTAGCTTTAATTTACCTTTTTTACAATAAATATGTTTCCTACTTTTCTTTTCTTTTCTTTTTTTCTATCTTGTCTTTGCCTTTTTGGCACGTGAAGGAAGATGCTGTCAAGCTCAGGATTATTGTAGCATATAATGTGTTATGAATTCAGAAATTGTATTTCTTTTTTGGGTAAAATTCAGAATTAATATTGACATCTCTTACTTTTTTTTTCTCTTTTTTTTTTCCAATCTTTCTTTTGACTCACTCTACGCCCAAAATGTGGGTATCAACATATAATTATTAAAAAAATTTAGGTGTAGAGTGCAGAAAAATAATAAATAAATAAATAACAGGATTATTGTTATAAAATAAAAAAATACATAAAAGTTAAGTGTTCAGTATAAAAGGTACCCATCGAGAAGTAATAAAGAATTCTTAAATTAAGTTTTCAAAATACTGTTTCACAAGGATTATTTTTTAATTGTTAATTTTTTTTAATTTAATCGTTTAAGCTTAAAGGATATGAGATGAATTAAAAATAAAAATTTAATTATAAAATCAATTATAAACTCAGAATACAATACACGTCTTGGTTGAACTTACAGAGAAGAACTGAGAGTATATGAGTTTTTCTCATTCAATCATTTATGTTATTTTTCTGTTTTAACTCTAAATTCAATTTTCTTGCAATTATCAAGTATTCATGCAATTACTATTAATATCCAATGGTTATATAATATTAATATTCTTTTATCTAAACTAACATCTCTAATGGTCATACAAGATATTAATTCAAGAAAGTTTAAAGCACTTATGAACTTGTTAATTTAATAACGATTAGAAAAGAAAGATTGATTTGATCCACTTAATCCTTTGTGTTGTTTTATCCTATAGATCTATTAACTAATCGAGGTACGGTCTCTTAACGAAATAATTAATTAGGATTGTAATTATGCACAATGGGATAAAAGCTAATCACGAATAGAAACCAAATATAGATTCAAATTTCAAAATCCTATAAATTCATGAACAATAGTTCTCATAGTCCTGACTATGAATTTAATTACTCATGCTAAAGGAAAAAACTAGAACAATCATAAACAAAGCCACAAAGAAAAGCAAACTAGAATGAGATGAGTTTTTCGATCTTCAAGTATAGTTGCTTAAAGCTCCAAGTCTCGCCAAGAGTATGCCAAAGACTCCGTGCAAGAGAGATAAGATGAGAGGTATATCAAAGAGCAAAACAAAATATGTAAAATGGTATTAAACAGAATATCTGAAGTCTTTCTTTTATAGGATTTGAAAACCTTAAAAGCTCTTCATAATTGAGCTTCCCATAGATGAGCACAAATGTGCAAGGTCTTAAGTATGACTGTGTTTGTTGAAAGGGTCTAAGCATGCTTATTGTTGCAAAACTTTGATCTTCTATTAATTTGGACCTAAAACGCACTCAAAATTCATTTATGATCTCTTCATACTAAACTATACAATTAACATATAAATTAGTATAAAATTTAAATAAAATAAAGATCAAACATAAATATATGAATTATAAAAAAGGGCATAAATACAAATTTATTATTAAGCATCAAATGCAAATCAAATGAAATTAGGCCGTAGTGTACAGTTTGGAAGAAAAAGGTAGTGAAGACTTTTTTATTTCAACTCTTGCACGGTTTCTCAACATGTGAGATTTGTTGGGCTTAATGTTACAACATACCACCATTTTGTTTTAATGACCCAAAAAAATGTTTGATGTTTTTATTGTTTTAATTTAAAAAAAATTAGTTTAAATATTTTTATAATTTAATATATTATATACTTTTAATTCTATATTTATGTTGTTTAAAATTAAAAAAGAAACAAGTTAATAATTTTTTGAAATAAAAATAACTATTCATGTGAGATATAAAGATGTATTGAGTAGTTTAGAGTTGCACCATTAAAAAGGAGAGTTTCTTAAATTGCATAATACACACACATATAGCTTCTACCGTAGTTGGAGGATTATTGGTATAAAGCCATTTGAATTGAACAATTCAACCAACTATAAGTAATTCTTAAGAGACAAGGCACGGGAAAAAATGAAGATAGAGTGAAAAATAACATTACCAATAATGCTTAAAATTGGCTTCGTGTTTAAGAAAATTAATTTGTTCCAGTTCACGTACTAGTTTATTTGCTTCTAGAAATGGTCAATTTTGATATTTATTGTTTGAGTTGTCACTCGTTCATCTATTTGGCTTCTCCTTAGGGTCAAACTCTCCTATAGGCTCTAACAGGGACATGGTGCATGTGATGAAAAATTATATACATTTTATACTTTATTTTGATAATTTAATTCGATTTTAATTAGTTTTATTTAGATTTGTAATATTATTTTGTCTTCTTTGTCCATTTTGTTTGATTTGATTTTTCAAGTTTTCTCTTTGATTAAAACGATTTGTATTGAATTTAAAAATATTTTGAAACCTAAGTTTAAGGAATTTTATCCAAATCTATATTTTAGCAAGTCTCGAAAGAGATATTTCTTTATCTTATTCATGAAAATAAGAAATGCATGTTTTTTTATGTTATTTGTTATCAAAGGAGGCATATTAACTTCAATTTGTAGAAAGGGGTATGTTATGTTCAGCAAAAAGATCACATATAATTCGAATAGTCTTTAATGCGCTTTAACCTTTTCATATGGAAGGTTGCTTGTGACATTTTATATATTGACAAATAATAACAAAAATTCTAATACAAGATGCATTATGTCTTTTGTGCGATAGATGTGAGAAAACTATCGGATTTACAAAGAATATTAGTAATATATTTTTGCCTAAATTAATAGATTGTTCCCTTAATTCTTAGTTTTGATTTAGTTTAATCCTGTAACTTTTTTTTTCATTTCGATTCTTTAACTTAAAAAAATATTTTAAATAAATTCTTTTTATATAAAAAATATTAACTTTATTAAAAAATTATTGTTCATTTTCTTCTTCCATAACTGATCAAAATACAATATATTTCAATAAATTTTTCAATAAATTCTTGTTTACGTCCTTACAATCTCATAACCCAATCATCCTTTACAACTTATCTATCAAAATTAAATCTTAAAGACAAAAAAGGAAAAACATTTTATAAAAAATTCAAAAAATTGCCAACAATTTGGGGATGTTGCAAGATGGAATAACTTAACAATCTTTGATAATTTTTTGGGTACTATTTTTTTCAACCAAAAATTTCCACTTTTATATAAACTAAGATGTCTTTAAATAATTGTCTTATTTATCATTTTAATCACTATCAATCCATTGAATTGAAGGAGTTTGCAATTTTTGTAAATTTAGAGAATATGCTTAATTGAGTTTGTAGAAAGGCATGTTATTAAACAATGAGAAAGTACTTCATTAGCTTCCTACCTTTGTAGAGTTTGAAGAAGACCCATCTTGAAGGTCAATTTGCATGTGTATTTGAACATGTGATGATTTTGTTGAATGAATACATTCATCATTTGATTCCATTTCGCATTGAAAGGAATCATGCGAAGGTCAACGAATGCTACCTTAAATCAAATTTCATTTCATGTGTCAATTCATGAATAAGAAATTTATTTGGAATCCATTCCCGTTAAGTACACAGAGATGAGCATCAAAAGTAGCATAATATAAAAGAAATGAGAATACATTCCACTTCACATGATGGGATAAAATATGGTAAGTCTAAGAAATCAAAGTTCGGAGTCGTGCTAGGAATTCATATTCATCACTGCTTGAATTTGTAACAATTTCTGGCCCCAAACATAGACAACTTCTCTCACCAATTATTGCATAATCTTTCTTTATATTCATATTTTCAATTTGGGTTCTTATCTTGATAATGAATAAATTTCATATGCAATTTTCTTCTTATATAATTATGTCTCTTCAATTCATTCTATATATATGTATATGAAATAAATATATTTTTTATTTTTAATTAATTATTTAAATTTCACCAATCAATACCAAATATACATATATTTATAAATAATATTAAAATTATTTTTATCAATTGAATTAAATTTTTTATTGTAGAAAGAATTTTTTTATCAAATATATTCTTAATTTGTATTTTAATATTTACTTATTTTAAATTATTTACAATACTAACAACACACTTTTTAATACATCATCTTTAATACATTTTTTATTATCAATTAAAATTTATTAAAAAATATAAGAATATGAAAGAGAAATATCAATCTAAAAATAAAAAGAAATAAGATTAACGTAATTTTTATAGTTTTTAAAAAACTTTATTTAATAATAAAGAATGTGTTAAAAAATGTATTAAAAATTTTCTTTAGTAATTTTAGTCCCTCCTCCTTTGTTGTTAAGAAGAAGACACTATAATAGCAAACGAAAGAAGAAGACACTATGATAACTACCAATAGTTTGGTGTCTGTTATTTCTTTTCTTCTTTTTTGGAATATTTATGTTTCAATTATTATTTTTTATAATTTGAAAATTAGTTTAGTTTTAGTATTTGGTGTTTAGTCGTTATTAATTAATACTGACTAGTGGACAATAACTAACGTAAAAAAATGTGAATTAGTTCTAAAGAAATGAAAATTGCTACTGCGTTCCCGAATGATATTGAACGACTAAATTTTTTGTACATTTATTAGGTTAAATAATAAATTATCAGTTCATGAAAATATCAATGATGTTATTCTAGTCACAGTAAAAAACTTCTGGTTTAATTATTAATTTTTTAAGTTTAATCCTTAATTGTTAAATTATACGGTGTAGGCACGAAAATCCATAAATTTTGAAACTATAAAGTCTACAATAAAGAATAGCTTTATTAAACTAAAATAAAAGTATAATATATTTTGAGAGACTAAAATTATATTTAAATTTAAAAGATAATATAATAATATATAAATAACTATGTCTAATTTTTTTATCATATTAATATTCATACCAAATACCTTTTCCTCTATATGCCATCCCTTAATGAATAAATTTGTAAAATAAAAATATCTCTAAAACTGAAAATAAAGTTCCCAAATTTTAATATTTGATGCAATAAACATAACAACAAAAATAATAGAAGGATATATAACAAAAAATAATAATAATAGGATATTCCATAATGTGGATTGAAAAATATCGGAAGAACCGAGAAGAGTCTCAGCCCAAAAAAATGATGACATGGCAATTTGTAGAGACGAGAGGGAAATTATCTTTGTTCCTTTTAATTTTTAACTAGTAGAGTATCCACGGTGTCTGCACGAATTACAATTAAATAGCCGTAAATACAGTGTTTTCTAAATTATTTATAACTTTAAGATTAAGTTACATTACTTAATTAGAAAATATTAGTATTAATTTTAACATCGCATCGTTTTAAGAAAATTGAGAGTTTAACATATATTGCACGGCTTGTATTATATTAATATTTTAATTAAAGTTAAGTAGAAAATAAAAAGTATTTAATACTTTAGAAATTATAAAAGAAGTGTTTGTTTATAATTACTTTAAGCAAAAAATAAGAAATATAAGTAGTTGTTTTAAAAAATTAATTAAAATATCCACTAGTTTGGACCTTTTTATACTATTTTATTTTTAGTTATTATATTTGCTGAGTCTCGTTTTCTTACTCACCACGTAAAATAGGGGCTCCATGCTGCATGTTTGATGCCACGTGTCATAAATTCATTTGCTTGACAACATGTCCTTTTTACCCCCTTATACAATGCTTCCGATAAAACATCCAAAAAGTCTCATTCTCATTTTACCCCTCACCTTCGTTTTCTGGCTCAACCCTCCAACGCGTTGCACGAATAAGTAGACACTGTGGCATCATCGTAGTTTCACGAAAATGCGAGGGTAAAACATCTTACGCGGTATATACGAGGAATTTAAACGCGGTTTCAATCCATAAAAAATTGCGGGCAAAGAAAGAAGAGTCACTACACTGTCAGTGAAACTCTCTCTCTTCATGCGTGCTTGCTCGTGTTCCTCATTAAAAAAAAAGCGAGAAAAAGCTATGGGCCATCACCCCCTCAAATTCTCTGAATTATTCCCTTGATTCTCAATTTCTGCTTCGGTTTTCTTTTTCCTATTTAATTGATTAAGGGTCCTTTCAAAGCTTCTCCTTTTTTATTTTTTTTTATTTTGATCTTGGTTGATCGGACATGGGTTCGGTTGAGTGTTATCGGGCGCGTGAGGATGAGATGGCGGTGGTGTCTCTGAATTCACTGCCTTTGGGGTTCCGATTCCGACCAACGGACGAGGAACTCATCGATTACTACCTGCGACAGAAGATCAACGGTAATGGTGACGAGGTTTGGGTTATCCGAGAAATTGATGTCTGCAAATGGGAACCATGGGATATGCCTGGTAATTTTTTTATCTCTTCAACTTTTTGCTATCAGAAATAATCTCTTGTTGATTTGGTAAAGTTGAAAAATTCTGAGTTTTATATGCGTGTATTATACTGCACTGTAAGAATTAGTTAGCAGTGGGTATGCTATTTCGTTTTGGTAATTATTCGATTTTCTTTTTAATTTTGGATGTTGGGTTTGTGTTGTAGATTTGTCGGTGGTACGGAACAAGGATCCAGAGTGGTTTTTCTTCTGTCCACAGGACAAAAAGTATCCAAATGGGCATCGATTGAACCGAGCAACGAATCATGGGTATTGGAAGGCAACGGGGAAGGATCGTAAGATAAAATCTGGGTCTAGCTTGATTGGAATGAAGAAGACTTTGGTCTTTTATACTGGTCGTGCACCCCGAGGGAAGAGAACCAATTGGGTTATGCACGAGTATCGTCCCACCTTGAAGGAGCTTGATGGTACCAACCCTGGACAGGTTCACTCTCTTCTCTGCTTTTTACTGCTTCTATTTATTATTATGTTTTTTCTTTTTTCTATTTGATGATTCAAGCTTATTCTTCTTCTTATTTGGTTCATAAAATGGTCAGTTTACAGCTACTTTTGCCTTAAACTGACTCAAATGGCTGCTTGATTGCATTTTGGTTTTGTTTTTTTTTTTTTGTTTTTTATTCATTTTTGGCTTAACAGTTGCTCTATCCCTGCTTTTATAACTTGCTCAAGTTGAAAATTCTTGGTTTTATAATTGATACACCTAAGGTCTTATGTTTATTTGACGTTCTGGTTTGCTGAGTTTGAATCAATTTACAACTAGATAAGGAATTATATGAAGTGATGATAACTTTTGATTTGATTTGATTTATTTGCTTTTTATTTTTTACCAGAATGCATATGTCCTTTGTCGCTTATTTAAGAAACAAGATGAGAGCCTTGAGATTTCAAACTGCGATGAAGTGGAGCAGACTGATTCAACTCCTATGGCTGCCAATTACTCTCCAGAAGAAATACAATCTGATGTGGCTCTTGTTGCAGTATCCCCGTCACAGGTTACAGAATATGATAAGCCTCTGGCAATTATCCCCGCAAACTCTGAGGAAGCAATATCCAACATCATAACCCCGGTTGATTGCCAAAGTGACGGATATGATGCTTATGATAGAAAAAATCAAATTGTAGGACCAGTTGCAGAGGTTAGTCAACTCTATTTGGACATAGTTCTCCAAGGACAAAACATCCCATATCTCAAAATCATGATGGAGAATTTAGGCTGTTTGTAGGATCATTAAAAATGACTTCAATCTTTACTAGTAAGAGTGAATTTAATCTCTATTTGCCAAAAAGAAATGGGGGGATTAGCATTTATTGAACTCAAATCAATTTTAGTTATGTATAGATTAATGAATTTGTTTCTTTCATTGTTTTCATTCACCCTGATTTGATTTTACATACATTGGAAATATTGACTTAGTACCTATATTAATGCTTCCTACAGGATGTTCAGCCATTGAACTTTGACATATATTATGACCCAAACAACCAGCTATTGGATGACAAATTATTCTCCCCTGTACTTGTGCATATTCCACCAGAAATTCATTATCAAGCGAACAACGAATCAGAAGGTCGATGTGGGCTTCAATATGGTACAAATGAGACAAATATTTCAGAATTTTTGAATTCAGTTGTTAACTGGGATCAACTCCCCTTTGAGGAACCCGGTTGTCAACAGCAGAACTACCCCTTGTTCAATGTTAAGGACAATATATTAGGCAGTGACTTAGATGCTGAACTTGCCAATATGACAGTGAGTAACAGCTCTAACGCTATTTATCTTTTGGTCATTCTAGGTAGCTTGTGCCTCAATAGTAAAATGTTGTAGTTTCCCAACTCCTGCTGTCAGCTCTAACAATCTAATATCGTTTTCTTGTGTCTCCGTTATAATGTTGTCTTACTGTATGCTGCAGTGTATGCAAGCTGTGTATCCTGAGGAGGCAATTGACAGAAGGATTCCTTTGGTGACAACAGCAGAATTTTGCAGCAACACTGGCATCACCACTGAACATAGTGGTGATGAGCAGAAGAGCAGTGTTGGGTTATTTCTAAACAATTCTCAGATGGTTTTTCCATCTGATGTTAGTATGGCCCAAGTATACAATGTAGTCGATGATTATGAGCAACCAAGAAACTATAATACAGTTGCTAGTGGGAATAGTGGAATCATAAGGAGGAGTCGACAGGGACGAAATGAACTGCTAGGCACAAACACAGTCCAAGGTACTGCACAAAGGAGAATTCGTTTGTTAAAGGATATGCAAGACTCAAATAGGATGGTGAGGAATAAGAGTTGTGCACAAGAAGAACTTAATTCAACACCAACTATTGCAGTGGTAAGAAGTTTGTTTATATAGCTTGTGTCTGGGAGACTGTCTTTGCATTGGAAATGAAATTTTTTACTCTATTGTAGGAGGAGAAAGCTGCAGAAAGTCATGCTTCTGATGAAAGTGCTGCTCTTACTAATGATGTGAATGAACTGAAGAACACATTTGAATCAATTGGCAATAGAAAGATTTCAAGACAAGTTACAAAAGTATGCTCTAACTTGGGGCTAGAAGACCTTTTATTGCTCAGAAGGGTGCCTTACATTTCAAAGGCTTCCTCCAATCACAGCATGTGGTCTTCTGTTTTTGTAGTTTGTGCTTTTGTAATGGTCTTCTTAGTGGTCTTTACTGACATGTGGGGATATATTAAATGTTGAACTGCTAAATCATTCCTTAAATTTGCCTCCATTTCTTTTTTGGGCCAGTGGAGGGAGGCTTGTAGGGTTTACTTAGATTTGTTGATAACTTGATATATATGTACGTATGTGCATATGTAGCCGGTGTATTATATGTATGCTCACCTGGTTGCTCGTCTCTGTAGACTATGTTGCTGTACATTAGATATACAGTTTCTTCAATCTTTTTTAGCTTCAGGAAAGCCTTAAACTCAATAAATGGGATGGACCATGCGTACTTTTTAACATGCTGCTTTTATGTTGACACTGCTAATTTTTAAATTAGTTTTATACTCTACATTTTCTTTCTGTTATAAGATGGATTAGAACGAGCTTATCTTAGACTTCACTTGATCTTTAAATTAGATATAACCATTTATTTATATTTCAATCCAATATAATAATGTCGATAATAAATAAAATGAGATTAAGAGTGTGTTTGGTAAAGTATTTTAGCTCATGGATGATTTATTTTATTAGTTAAAACTTGTTTAATAAAAACAACATTTTTTAGTAAAGTAGCTAAAATAGGTAGTTGTTAACAATTTTTTAAAGCTATTCATGCTTGCGTTTTTTATTTTTAACTACTAGCTAAAAGTAATTTTAAAAATAAATAAATGTAAAATTTGTTAATTTTAAAAAAATAATTTATTAATTTCTTGAGAGTGATTTAACCATGTCATTAAATTTTATTTTTTATAATAGAATATTTATAAATTATAGTTAAATTAAAAACTTATCATCCTATTTCAAAGATAATAAATAATTTTAAATATATTAAAATATAAAATTTTAAAAATATATAATTACTTTTATTAAAATTTTTGGTCTATTTAGTGACGATACTTTAATTTTACTGTTTGTTTATGATACTTTTATTTGTTATTTAGATTTATCAGTTTAGTTCAATAATTAATTTTACTAAATACTTTCAATTCAATCAATTCAATTTTTTATTATCTTTCAACTAATTTATTTTCTAATTTTGTCAAACAAACCTTAAATTAATTCAACTTGTTGATAAAATGTATAAATATTAATATTATATATAATTAAATTATAAAGGTAAAAAATATAAAATTAAAATTAAGATATAGTTTATAATATTATTTTAAATCAAATGATACTAAAATAAGTATAAATTGGTACATAAAATATTATATATTAAATTAAAAATCTTATTGTTATTATTATTATATAATTGTAAAAAAAATAAATTTTAAAGAATATTATACATTGTGTTAGGTTAGAATGATCTCAAATTATAATCCAAATTTATTTGTAAAATATATTATATTAAATTCTAAACTTTGAGTATCAATTAATTTTTATTCAAGATAAATTAGTGAGACATGACAAGTTATAAATATCTCTACTTGTGATATATAATCAACAAACATAAGAAATTACTAAAGATTTATAGAATCGTAAGTAATAGTGTAGTCTAGAGTGGGTGTATGGGCTAGTCCATGGTGTGGTAAGCTATGATATAAATATACTTTTTCTTTTTTTAGTAAGTTAATCTAGGTTGTGCTCAAATTAAAAAATATATAAATAAAAATTTTATTAAAAATATTATTAATACACTTTATTGGAGAAGGCTAATATAAATTAGTAAAATAAGAGATTCATGAATAAGTGACTATTTTTAAACTATTAAATATATTTTAAAATTTATAAATAGTTCTTTTACTTGTAACTTAATAACATAAGTTTTTATATATATATATATATATATATTTATTATTTAATTCTTCATAAAAATTTATAAAATTTGTCTTTGAACCTTCAAAACTTATTGTCTTTTAGTTTTAAAACTTTTGTTTTCTTTTTCCTTCTACACCTTTGTGTACTTTGGATCTTCCAACTTTATTTTAAGAAGGTAAGCATTTAAATATAGTTTGAATACATGATAAAAAAATAACTTTTGAATCAATAGAATATTGAATGTTATTTTATATCTTTAGAATCTTCTACAAACTCTATTATGAAGTTAATAATTTTTAGAATTAAAACTTTCATATATATTCTCATTGTCTCAATTTATCATAAAAATGAGATTTTATATTGATATATTATTTAATATCCTTTAAAATATTTTTCATGTCCTTCCGACACAATAGTTACTTTTGCATCGCACAAATTTCACTACACTAGCTTAAGCAAAAATTATAGAAAAAAATAACTCATTAGAATTAACTCGCTTAAGCAATACATAAACTATTTAAACCGTAAAATATAGTACAATAATAATTTAAAGGATAAATATTAGCGTAAACAAATAAAAAAGTTAGGAAAACCTTACATTATAACTAATATAACTTAAGTCAAATTACTACAACTTAAGCGAAATAGCACGGAGTGCATTAAATATAAAATATATTTTTCAATTTTCACTGTGTTAAGTTATATTATATTTTGATTTGATAATTGAATAGATGTATTAATAAAATTGATTGTTTCATTCAATTCTCTTAAGTAGCTTGGAAAACAAAATTAAATTAGGTTTATCTTTAGAAGGACAAACAATAGGTTAATTATTGCCACAAACTTAAATATGTAATTAGTTTATATAAATATAATACATTTTGAAACACTCTTATGTCATTATCGCATCATTTAAAATTTTAAATATTTTATACTTAATTATTATTATTATTTTTTGCTAATCATGGGGACTAGAAGTCCAAACAACAAAATAAACTTAAGAGTGGACTTAGGGGTCCAAATCCCACACCAATATAAGCAAAAGAAAGAGAGCAAATTATAAGGAATTTCAACAAAACTAGTTACAGGAGAAAGGAATTGAAGGCCAATACTAATGAACTTGTCAACATAATAGTTAACTTTTCTAAAAACGTGTCCCAACCTAATAGACTTAACATGTTTAATGTTGTCCCAAATTTTACATATAACATGAAATGGGGATAAGAAACTTAATTATGTATTTAGTCTTTATAACATGTGTTATTATAAGTCTTTATAAATTTATTTTTATTAATATTTAGTCAAGAAGTTATCATTTAATTATCAATTTCTCTTAACTATTTTAATTATGTTAAAAAAATTATTTTAAATATTTAAGAGATTAAGATTTTCTATTTACAATATTTATTAATAATTAAATTTTAAATATTTAAACTTATTATAATAAGTCATTTTACTTTATTATAATTTTTAATAAAAAATATTTTTATTTTTTAATTAAAAATCGTACGATACTGCTTAACAAGATACTAAAAAAAAAATATAAGAAAAAAGAAAAATAAGCGTGATAATACTTAAAAAGTAGTTATTAAATTATTTAAATAAAAATTACTATAAAATAAAGTCCATAGATTGAACCTCACGTTACTAGTTTAATAAATTATATTGCCGGATAAGAATCCATGATCGGTCTTGGTGGGTCAACTAGAGGCTTGGAAGCACAGTGAGAGAGTGTTGAGAGATGAGTGCATATTTGATCCCAGCCATTCATCTACTTGTGTTTCTGTCATGCACTTCCCTTTTAGCTGTGTTTAGCTGTGAGAATGATAAAGTGCATGCGAAAGAGATTCTTGGGGCAGCCCAGAAGGAAAAGGATTGGTTGGTTTCAGTGAGAAGGAAGGTCCATGAACACCCAGAACTGGCTTTTCAAGAACACAACACTAGTACTCTTATATGCTCCGAACTTGACAAACTTGGCATATCTTACACATACCCAGTTGCCAAAACCGGCATTGTTGCCCAAGTTGGCTCTGGTTCTCGCCCCATCATTGCTATTCGGGCTGACATGGATGCACTCCCCATGCAGGTAACCCCTCTTCAGAATTTTCTAATTGTGTTTTTGGTGAGAACCATTTTGCCCTTTAGAAGTTTTTTCTTTCGAATTAATTAAATATTTTATCTTTAAAATTATTTAAATTTAGTTTCTAGTGATTTTTTTTTTGAATTATCAATTTTTTTAATTTTTTATACACGTATTTAGGAATTGAAGTATAAAATAATTTTAAAAGTTTAGATGTAAGAAATTGAGTGTAAACATAATAAAATTTTGAGGACTTTTTAGGATGTGAGATTAAAGTTTGATGAGAAAAAAATTTATTATTTTTTCAAAAATTGTGAGATTTGATGTTTTGATTGATGAGTTTTGAGTAAAAGATAATTTAGTTTGTAAAATGTTTTAGTAGAAAATGACAAATTGAGGGTTTTGAGTAGAATAAATTCAATGGTCTATGCCAAAGAGATTTTAAATAGTCTAAATTGGAACTTAACAAACTCGAGACTAAAATCATACGTTCGAATTAGAGAAACTGAAAATGCAATTGAGCCATTTTGATGTGCTCCTTTAGGAAAGTATTGTTTTTGATGACTATGTATTTGTGTATATATTTTTTATTTGATGTTTGTGGTGATTAGGAGCTTGTTGAGTGGGAACACGAGCAAAATCGACGGCAGAATGCATGCATGTGGACACGATGCTCACACCACAATGCTACTTGGGGCTGCAAAGTTGCTGAATCAGCGGCAAAATAAGCTTCAGGTTCTCAGTTTGCTAATTTAGGTGAATCTTTTTAGTTTTTGGTGTTTGTCTCTTTAAGGTGATTCTTAACAACCTTCCATAAAATTTAATCATTCAAGAGTCAGAACTCAAGTCTTAAACTGATTTTACAACTGACAAATCTTCTAATTTTGAAATGTTGTCCATTAATGATCTGAAAAACCAAAATTTGGCTCCATTTAGCACTCTTAGGTAGCTGCTGGTTTCAATATGAAGGTCCATTGGTTGCAAGAATCTAAAAGTAAACTCTATTTTGTTCATGTTGATAAACATGGGGATGGCGTTAAATAAAAGTTTACCATGATGGAGTTATTTGTAGATTCAAATAAATTATTGTGCCAATTTCTTCTATTAAACAGGGATATATTATAGCTATTTGTTGCTTGAGCTTTTAATTATATAAAAACGGGAGTTACAAGTTAACAGTTTTTATATATAAATGTCTTGCTTATAATCCCGAAAGTGATGTGTTTAATAATATTATTCATGATGCTGAGAATTTTTTGTTATTTTAAAATTTTCCATCATTTCTGGAGAAAATACTGTAGTGATAAGAATTCTATGAAACCATAAAAACAATATGCGCTTCTATTGAGCTTTGAGGTTCAGGCATGGCTGAGAATGTCTGGCTTGTTTGTGTAGGATGATTATGATATAACCAATATTGAACCCTTTCCTCCTTTGGCATATCCAAATTTATCTAATTATTAGGTTCATTTTGAGTGCCAAGTAATTAATTATGTTCTATCAAATGCCAACTGCTGCAACGTCTTTTCAGTGCATTCTACATCTTTTCTTTTTCCTCTTTTGCTTCTTCTCATCACTTTAACGTTTAAATACATCATGGGTAATTGGTTATAGGCGTTGTCTTCTCACCTCTTATCTTTATATTTTCAAACTATTAGGTCAATTACTGCATTCTTGTAAATAAGTTTTATTAGACTTCCCCTTTATACCTTGATTGTCAAACATTAATTGGCCAACACGGTTTTCATTCCTACTGGACCAACCACTATCTTCCAACCAATCACTTGTCCAAAGCATGGTGACAAAGGGATGCAAAAAAGCAATGGTGTTCTTAGGAGGATTTCTCTTTCTAGACTTCTTCCTACTGTAGCTCAAATGTTTGTTGGATTTTCTACATGATTTTTTTTTCTTGTTGTCACATTTTTAGGTGTTTCACATCCAGAAAACAACTGTTCCTCTTATTCCTCATAGAATCCCTTCTTTTCCTGTATAATCCTTCTATTAGATATATGTATAATGTACTGGACTTCGAGCTTCAGGGCCAACTACAGGCAAAATGTGTGATCTAGATATTGGGCGAGTCTATTGCTACTCCAAAATGTCTATTACCACTCTTATTTAATATTTTTTATTTAAAATACTTTTTTAGTTAATTAAATTAATAATAAGAATATTTAAATAAAAAATCTTTGGGGAGTGTAACAGATATATAGGAGTGCCCATAGATACTTCCCTAGATATTGAGTTATCATGGCTCCATCAGATAGCTGCTACCTAATCTTCCAGAAGCTGTTATAGATCACACCAAAGCTGTTAGAAATTTATAGATTCTCTGGCATTGAATTCCCTACTTCAGAACTTTGAAGGAGCATGCCAATCGAAAGTTAAAAAGTTGCTCAACATTGGTACTTCTCTTTGTGCAGGTGATACTTGTGACACTTGTGACTCTTAAGTCTCATCTGGTTCTGAAGTTATAGCTGTACCTCTTAAGCATATGTCTGTTCGGCCTTTAGTACCACCAATCGCTGGATCAGATGACATCCTTCATATCATCAATTCATTGAAAACGTGTGATATTGGAACTGCATTTATATTAAAAATTGTAGATAAAGTAGAATTGCATGATGTTCAAAATGTATTCACTAACAGAACTCCAGCTAGACCCGGCTTGCTAAATGTTTTGCTTTTTGTTGCTTTCAGATGAACTAAGGAAATTAATAATCTATATATTAGCTATTGAATTACCTTTTGCCTGGTATTGAATGTTGAAACACGGGTCAGAACAATGTAAATACATGTTTTATTATGTTTGTGTTTGAGGTTCTGACGCATGCATAAATACTAAAAACCCAAAGTTTTTATTTGAAATGTCCTCCTTTTCTTTGGTATTGAAGGGAACTGTGAGAATTCTTTTTCAACCCGCTGAGGAGGGAGCTAGAGGTGCGGCTCAAATGATAAAAGAAGGAGTTCTTCAAGATGCAGAAGCAATTTTTTCTGTTCATATTAGTACTATGACACCTACTGGAGTCATTGCATCCAGTGCGGGGCCTTTTACAGCTGCTGGATGCATGTTTGAGGCAAAAATTGTAGGAGTAGATGGTCATGCTGCAACACCGCACGAGAATATAGATCCAATTGTGGCTACATCATTTGCAATATTGGCACTACAACTGCTTGTCTCAAGGGAAAGTGATCCTCTTCACAGTCAAGTGTGTGCTACTCTCAATCTTGACTTTCACAAGTAGATTATCCATAGCATTTAATTGCCGCAAATTTAAATGAGACTTTCCAAAACTCTGTTTAAGCCAATTGTTGTGGATTCATCTTCATGCATCCTCTTTTCTTCCCTGACCTTTTTCATTGGCACCTGGTTGTTTGATATAGCTAGAAGTCACCACTGAATTTTTTTCTTTCTCTTCAAATAAAAAAAAAAAAACAGTTTACTCTATCAGGTCTTGGTTTATGCTATTTCATTTCTAAAAGCTTTCCACTATTCTGTTTAGCTATGTCAGAAAAAAGCTATTGAAACTTCCATTGTCAAGTCATGTCACCTAACCATCATATATTGGCCACAGGTGGTATCAGTTACATATGTCAAAGGTGGAACTGCATTAAACGTGATCCCGTCCTATGTAAAATTTGGAGGCACTCTGAGGAGCCAGACAACTGAAGGCATGTATCATTTAAGGCAGCGATTAAAGGAGGTATGCATGATGACCAATATAGACATCATTAATTTTAATCAGAAACTTAAGCAACCTTTTGGGAAGTTCTGGTTCATCTGTGGTTTGCTTTGCATAATCTCTATCATTCAGTAAAATTAAATTTTGGTTTGATCATCAAATCAGTTTCCCTTGTGATCCTTACGAAGTTACTCCTTTTTCCATGTATGCATAGCAAGCATGTATTTCTTTGTTGTAAAGAGAAAATACACAAAGAAACCTGAGAAATAGTCAAAACTCACCAGAGTGGTGCTGATTATTCTGACTTGCTGCTTGTCGCAATGCTCATTTATGGCAGTCCATTTAGTTTTACTTTCTCAATAAAACATTTTCTTCTCCATCCTTAATTCAGCACTAAGGTGAAACCATTAACATTTGTACTTGGTAATCACATTTCCAATATTTTCTGCAGCTATTTTTTCACCTTTGAAGATTCAATTAAGTAGATTGCATGTCAAACTGTCCTTGAATTATGTTTCACACAGTACATAGCTCCTTTATCTTTCTTTGCTTATTTTGCTCCATTGGACTTGTTTTACTGAATAGATTTTAATACTTCTCTATCTGTGGTAATAGAAAGATAAATAACAAACAGGTTATTTTCTATAAATTTTGTATAGCTTATGTTGTTAGGGAATGCATGCAGGTTATTGAAGCACAGGCAGTTGTGCACAGATGTAATTCTTATGTTGATTTCAAAGAAGAGGACTTCACCCCATATCCAGCTGTAGTTAATGACAAAAATTTGCATCTGCATGTGGAAAGAGTTGGTCAACTTTTGCTTGGTCCAGAAAATGTCCATGCAGGCAAAAGGGTGATGCCAGGTGAAGACTTTGCGTTTTATCAAGAAGTGATTCCCGGAATAATGTATTCCATTGGAATCAGAAATGAAAAAGTGGGAGCAATTCACTCCCCACACTCCCCTTTTTTCTTTCTTGATGAGGAAGTTCTTCCATTAGGGGCAGCTCTTCACACTGCTGTTGCTGAGTTATATTTAAATGAGCATAAGCATACTGTTTAGTGAAATTCATTTGATTATTTCTGATGAAAGTTTCTATATTTAAGGAACATGCACATATTTCCTTAAGTGTGTGTTCGGATTAGCTAAAAAAAATAAAAATTATTTCAATACTCGAATATGAGTGTATTTGGATTAGATTGTTTTTGTATAGATTATGTGAAAAGAGTTTTAAAAAGTACTATTAAAAATAACTACAATTTAAACTAAAAACATACTAAGGTAACAATTGCACATTATTTTATATCTTTTTTCTTTTTATAATTTTACCGTAGAAAAAAATAATCATCTTATAAAATTCAGGCATAATATATTATTTTAAAATCACTTCTTATCTAATATATCTAAAGATAAAACTTATTTTATACAATCAATTATCACAATAATTGATTATACATGTAATTAATTATTGAAATAATTAAGTTTTTGGGTTATCCAAATACATTATATCTATAATTTATTATTGTAACAGTTAATTATATAAAATAAGTTTTGTTTTTAGATATGTTAAACGAAAAGTAATTTTAAAGCAATTTATTATATTTAGATTATATAAAATAGTTATTTTTAAGTTGACATTATTATAAAAAAGAATATGAAGTAATGTATAATAGTAATTTTTTGATTTAAAACAATTAATTATTAAAGATAAAATAAGAAAATAAAAAATAACTAAAAGATGAACTGATAGCTTTAGATTATATCTGTTAGGCAACAGTGTCACATCCATAGAAAAGTGATTTTGCAAACGATGTGTCATCACTGTGCCTTGTACAAATTTTAAGGGATGAGGAATTTTGTTCTATAACATATTCACATAACCGAATCTTCAGCACATATAATTTGGTCATTAAATAATTTAAATTCCATTGCTGAATCTAAAATCCACGCTTCTTATCATCTCTTGGTTTCCCTTTTCACATAAACCGTTATCGTAGATCACTAATCTAATTTGATGATTCCTCTTCTTTTCTTCGAAAAGTCAAAATTTGGAAATTTCCAGTTAGAATCAACTGATTTTTAAAACTTGTCTCAATTATCTTTGACTAGATCGTGCATTAATGTGAGATTTATGAATCACATTAAATAAAATAAAAAACACAATGAGATGCTTAGCTTAAACACACACTAAAATACTTAGCTTAAGTTGACAACCAGACTATAGATGCATAGCAGAACCAACAATTATTGGGCATTAATGACAAGCAAGTCAATCTTTCTTGCTTTGAGATACATAAAACAACAACATTTGAAGTTTTGACAGAGACACCTGAACGTTCATTAGTGGTAAATACCAAAAAGTAGTTCGAATTGAAATATCAAATTCAATTCCATTGTTAGTCAGCAGAATAAAATTTACGAATGGGAGAGGTAGCATACTTACTATGTCAGAGTAGTTTGAATTCTAATCAACAAAAGGGAAATTGAATATTGAAGAATTGGTTGCTGAACAAAAACTGATGGCTACATTTCCATGATACACATTGTAATTTCTTTTAATCTTTATTAATAATTTTGCTTACATTTTTAACTAAAAGAGTGGACACGTGGAGATTTCCTATTGGATGGCTGTTTCACAAGCAAATTGTAATTGTGAACAGACATTATATTTAGTACCAAGAGAAGAGATAATTTGATGGAGTATGACGGCATTGCTAATCGAAGCAACCATCAAGAATCAAGATTCCTCAAAAGAAGGGACTACACAGAGATTACGATCTCTTAGACAATTACATTTTACCCATGTTATTATATTTAGTAGTTGGTTCTTTGGATTCAGAAGCACAGTTACTTGTTTGGTTTAAAATTTGATAATTTCATTTTGAATTTTTTTCGATGATTAAAATGTGTGTCTAAATTAATTTTAAGTAAGATTAGTCTTGTTATTTTGATTTAATCATTTATGTTTTAGGGCTCTAATTTTATCTTTCATTTCAGTTTTGTTTTTTTATTTCCTATTAGTTCTCTTATTTTTAAATAATAATCAAATAAATTTTGTTAATTATGTTTAACTACATCAACCAAATACAAAGAGAAAGAAAAAAATAATGAGGATAACAATAAATAAAAATAATTAATATAGTCAAATATTTAATAAAAATAAATTAATACTTGTATAAAAAATTTATGAATAACTTATAGAAATAACTTATAACTTTTATAAATTTATTTTAACAGTATCTATACTTTAATGTAGGTGAGATTTTAGTTTTCATAGTTTTAAATGTTGACATTTAGTCTCTTTAAATTTTTTAAATGTACGATTTTTTTAGTTTAATTCAATAAAAAAATATTTTTTTCAATAATAAAATATTATAATAAATAAATTTTGTTTGAATATACTAGGTGAAAAGTAATTTCAAAATAATTTATATAAATAAATTATACATGATAATTACTTTTCTAAAGGTAAAATTACAAAAAAGATATATACATTTATGTCTAATAGTTAGTTTTGTATTTAAAAAATTAATTATTAAATATAAAATGGGAATATAGAATTAAAAAAAAAGTTAACTTCAATTATAAATTCTAAAATTTTATTTATTTTAAATATTATTTTACATAATTAAAAATAATAATTTGATCCCAAAACACACTAAATTTGGTAGTTAAAGTAATATCAATATGATGAGTTGAAAGACAGAAAAGACTGCTTATATCTACAAGTAATTGAACAAGAAAAAAATATTATGTCAATAATGATAATGGATGGTTATTTTTTTTATTTTGAAATATAATTTTCGCGTATGTATTAAAAAGGTAAATGAGATATGAAAGTAATGATATATAATATTATATAGTGTTAGTTATATTTTTTTTATGGTAAATTACATTAAAATGATTAACAGATTCTCTTAAGATATTAATTATAGAATTATAAGTGAAAAGTTTTTATGAAAAGTATTATTAATATATTTTTATTGTAACTTTGAATAAAAGTTATTTATAAAAAAAATATTAACTTTACATCTTAGAAATAAAGATAGGGATGCTTATTCTCTTCCATTGTAGTGGAAATTGAACTCCAATTCATTTTTACTCAAACAAATTGAGATTCACTTTAACAAAAATGAAACTACATAACAAATTTAAGTAAAATTCTGTAAAATTACTTAAGCAAATCTTAAATTTTTTAAGGTTCATTAAAGTTATACAATGTTCATATCTTCAGCACAAAAGAGTTCTTACTTTTTCTGATGGGATAAAATTGCTTATAATGCAACTAAACTTGGTCCGCTACCTCACCTTCTTCAAGTTGTCCCACTCTTTGTACTTATATGAGCTTTTTACCAAAATCCTTTCATACACTATTTTTATTTTATCTAATCTCACACTTGACACTCTAAGCAATAAACAACAATCTATCAAAATAAAGAAATTGAAGGATCTTTAACAACAGGTTCTTAACTTCATGAGGATGATCATTTTTAATATCAGAATTCATCTATACTTATTATTTAATTTAAGAATAGTCTACTTATTGAGATATGAATGTAAATTCGCTTGCGAATGTCTTTCTTTGTGAAGCACCATTTCATTCATATTAAAACAAGTAGGCTCATGCCGTGGACCAAGTTTAGTTGCATTATAAGCAATTTTATCTCATCAGAGGTAAGAACTCTTTTGTGTTGAGATGCAAACAAAAGCAAATGCAAAATTAAACAGGGACTGCATCTCAACACTCTACAACTCTAATGAACCATAAAAAAATTGAAGATTCACTTAAATAAATTTATAAAATTTTACTTAAATTTACTGTTTACAAATTTACAAAAACAAATTAAACAATTCATTTTTTGTTACAGCAAGAGAAGATCAGAATTGATAAAGATAAACAATTAAAGTAAAAAAAAAAAATTATTTTAAAAAACGTATTTATCACCTCAAGAATATAAATTTATAATAAATATTATATCTTTATATTAAAAAATTATTATTTTTATATGTTTAAACTCAATTTTAAAACTTAAGATTAAAAAATAATTTATTAATAAAAATTTTTGTTAATATTCTTAAAAAAACTCGTTAACTAGTCTTAATACATAAATATAAAAACAAGGCAACACTTCATAATAAAGATACAAAAAAAAAAGGGGTAAAAAATAGCATAAACTTAATGAAGTACTCATTTGTAACTCATTTTTTATTGTTTGGCATTCAATAGGAAGAGTCGCGCCAAATTTACCACATCGGTGGATTAAGAGCAACCATCGATATTTCAGTGTGTCATGATGTGTCATATCCTAGTGTTACTACATATACCTACTAAATTGGGACTCTTCTTTTAGCATTGTTCCAAAAAATTGAAGTAATCAAATGAATTTTTTTTTTCTTAAAATAAGCTGTTGAAAACAACCCAGTTTAGGGAGGATTAAATTCAGGTTTTCCCTTCGAAAGGGTGTTGTTTGGTTTTGATCTGATTGAAGAAGAATTTTACTAGACCAATACACACCCCACTGGTTAGCATAGTTTGGCAAGGTAATGTTATATGGAGACCTTACCCCATCACGTTTTGGTATGCTGGATTTTGTCAATATATCCAACAGTGGAAGAGGGAATTGATCGATTATAAAACCAAAAAGAGGGCTTTTACATCCCAATGTGCAATAGGAAATGAAGATACATAGAAGGATTATGTTTTATCATTGAAAATAGAAAGGTTACAAACAGGCCATGTGGGACTAAGTTTCTTGTATTAATTTACACACGCAAGATGTAAGCGATTTCTCGTATCCCCACGTTTCGTTCATCCCAATTATATGTCATGAAAATCAGAAATACGTTGCTTAAGCACTAATGCAGAAGAGCATGCTTATTGGCTTATTGCTTAATTGGTTAAAACTCATTTTAAGAAATCACAATATATCTGTGATCACATTTCTGACATCTGCCTTATTTGATCTTCAACTTTTCTTTCGTCCACTGATGCACAAGGCAAACAAAAATGTCTAAAGATGATAACAAAATATAGATATTATTATACTAGTTTTCTACCTATTATTTTTTTTCCATCTCTTTTTTACTTCCCCCCCACTATACATGCATCTTACCCGTGTCTTGTAATGTATCAATTCTTGAAATATATAAATGCTATTTAAATAATAAATGTTAAACAATTTTTATATTTTAATGTAATAAATAATAAATAAATTTTATAAATAGATTTTCTTTTTATTTTCTTAACTTGTGTTAGTTGTGATAATTTTGTAAAGGCAGAGAAAAAAATATGATTGTTAGTATGATTACAAAATTTGAAAGAATTAAATACATTTATTATGTGACTTAATAGAAATTAAACATGAGTATTTTTTTCACATCCTTACTTATATGCTTTTAAAGAATTATTGAAATAATAATTTTTTTATTCTTGTAATGAGGAAAATAATCTCATGAAAATTAATTTGATTATTTTTAACATTTAAAGTTGATTTGATAATTGTACATTTACTTTTTTTCATTTCGTTTTTTTATCTTCTCAAGACTTTATTTTGTCAAAAAAGATAAAAAGTTGTCAGAGATGTTGAACTCCATAAAAATTTTTGCTGTGTTGCCGAAATTAATAACGTGACTTTCAAATTTGTAATTGAAATTTTTGAATGAAAATTAATCCTTTATTTATTTGAGTATCTTATAAGAAAACTTGTAAATCAATTTATTTTTTGTTGGAAGTATCACCATTGTCAATGATTTGAGAAAAATTCACAAAAAAATTATCTTTCCCATCGTTAAATTTTTAAACACATATATCCTATATGGGTTTTCTCTTATACCAACTAAATATTTCACTTATCCACTAAAAAATTATATCTTAAGATAATCACATTCAATAATTTTGAATCTCGTCAAAATTTCCTGTTGTGTTGTATATACGTATGTTAAGTTACTTTGCTTTATATATGATAAAAAAAATCAAGAGTTTTTCTTTTAACTCACCTTGCATTGATGATAACTATTTTATCAGTAAGAGTTTTCAAAATTTACTGCTTTAATTCATTTAAGAATAAGACACCATCAACTATTGTTATTTTAATTTTTAATAAAATTAAGCTTTCAAAACATAGAAAATAAATAAATTTTAATTCATTAATTTTATGAAATTAGTCTTTAGAATTATTATATAATTTTAAAATGTTAAAAAAAGGGGATGGGGCCTAACAATAAATTGGTTGAGTTATGGAGTGCTGGAGGTATCAAGTACCCATCTCAAAGTTCCACACATCTATAGTCGGTGGGTAATGGTAGTATTATCATTTTCAAAGCCACCTTTTCCTCTCTTGGCCTTACCACTATTTGGCTTCTTCATGTCTATAAATATGATAACCACGCTCCAATGGTTTCCCTCCTTTCTACCATCAACCTTGAAGATTGAAAACAATTCCAAAGGAAATATTAAACCAAGAGTTTCTTTGTGCAGTTAGTGACACTGCATGTGCTCTCTCTATATAATAACTTAGTTAAGCATCATTTGCTAATCACCCACCGGTCACCTATCATGCTCAGAGTGTGATACTCCTACTCTTTCTTTATGACATAACTGTCTTGTCTATACTTGTTTACCCTCTTAATCTCTTGCATTTTTTTGACCCCTTTTACTAATTTGATTTCTTATCTCAATTCATAAAGCAAATGGGTGAGGAAGCTAAACAGGTGAGCCTTCAATTTTGTTCCTACTTTCATAGTGATGTATTTTTTCTAGCTCTTACAGATTTATGGGCTAGTATACTTCCTATATTTTCTCGTACTTATTGGTTAGGAACCAACTAAGGTTGAGTCTAAGCCAGAGGAAAAGCCAGCAGAAGAGAAGAAAGAAGAGAAACCAGTAGTAGAGGAGAAGAAAGAGCCTAAACCACAATCTCCATGTGTGTTGTTTGTAGACTTGCATTGTGTGGGATGCGCCAAGAAAATTCAGAAATATATTATGAAAATGAGAGGTTCTACTCTGCCATCTATTGATCTTTGCTTTTGATTATTCCACATGTCATGCATGCATGTCCACTCAATTTTATTTGTATTTATCTTCTAACAGGAGTTGAGAGAGTGGTGTTTGATATGGCTAAAAATGAAGTAACCATAAAAGGAATAGTGGAGCCTCAAGCAATCTGTAACATGATTACAAAGAAAACAAAGAGAATAGGCCAAGTTTTATCTCCATTGCCAGTAGCAGAAGGAGAACCTATACCAGAAGTTGTTACTTCTCAGGTATCATGAGAACCTTTTCTTTTGGCATGCCAAAGAAAAGTAAAGCTAAAATATATCTACATAGTTTAATCAATAATTGGTAATTGATTGTTGTTCTAGGTTAGTGGACCGGTTACTGTGGAACTTAATGTAAACATGCATTGTGAGGCCTGTGCTGAGCAGCTCAAGGGAAAGATACTCAAAATGAGAGGTACCACTTTTCATTTTAATTAAAGTGTTCGAAACGATGCTCGTTATAATTGAAAATGACTTATTTGGATTAATTTTATTTTCTGAAATATCACTTTGAAGAATTAATTTCAACCAAACACACTAAAAATGGAAAAGAAGTTGACAAGTGCTTTGTTAATGATAAAATTTAGTGGTTCCAATGTAGTTGGTGATTGTGACTAACCAAACAACAAGAGTCATCTAACAAAAAATAAATAAACTAGAATGTGGACACATAAAGGGTGAATAGTCATTCGTGGATTTGTGTGTGTCCATCCTTTAATGCATTGTACACTCCCAGATTACCAAGTCATCGCTTTGATGGGGAACCCATGACATGGCATGCTTTTCTTCAAATTGGTTGGCAATGATGTGATTTAATTGGGACTCAATGTCCATGTCCTGCATCAGATTGCACCTCAAAAGAGAAAGAAATGGGGTTGTTTTCCACAAATATGTTATTATGATCAAGGAGTTCATACTATTTGTATTATATTTTATAAAAATATCTTTAATGGATACAAAGTAATTAATTAAATAAATAAGAGTAAAATAATTAATGTTAATAATTTTAAGGGTAATTTAAAAAATTAAATTATTAAGAAATTTGTTATTATTAATAATGTTTGGTATATTTTAAATTTTTGTAAAATAATTGAAAGAATGTTAGATTTAAAATATTGACCGTAATATGAAGGCCAATTTTTGTCAACACAACAAAATAAAAACAATACCATTTGATTAAAAATACAAAGACATTCCCCTATCAATTTTTTCTTTTATCACTTTTTTTCATGAACAAGCTAGTCATGCTTTATACATGAATGATAGTCATGTATATATATGTCTTGCGTAAAAAAAATCCAAAGCATCCCTTTAGCTTGACCCATACGTATGGAACAAGGTAACATTTCAGTATTTAATAATAAATTATTATTATTATTTGACTATACGATAATATGAAAATATGTGTTGGTTAATGTAGGAGTTCAAACAGCAGTGGCAGAATTTAGCACAGGGAAGGTTATTGTGACAGGGACCATGGATGCAAACAAGCTAGTGGACTATGTCTATAGACGGACCAAAAAGCGAGCCAAAATAGTTCCCCAACCCGAACCTGAGCCAGAAAAAGAAAAAGAATATAAAGAAGCTGAGAAACCTACAACAACAGAAGCGGCTAAACCTGAAGGAAAGAAAGAAGAAGAGACAGAGAGTAAAGAAGAGGAGAAACCAGCAGAGGAACCCAAGAAAGAAGAAGAGGGTGGAGAAGGTGGCAAGGATATGAATGAGAATAAAGAAGAAAAGGGTGGCGAAGAAGAAGCCAAGAAAGAAGTGGGTGGTGATGAGAATGAAGTAGTGTTTAACGTTGATGAGGAAGACACGAAGAGGGTGATGTATTATTACCAGCCACTCTATGTCATTGAACGAATCCCACCCCCTCAGCTATTTAGTGAGGAAAATCCCAATGCATGTTGCATTTCATGAATTCATCCTATGTGATCATAAATCCATACATGAAATAGATAGAAAAAGAGAAAGGGTTCAAACTACTGTAAGTACGAACAAATTACTGTGTTGGTTGACTGAAAGGTGTCAAATGAAATCAAATACATGTATCATCATGAGTTAATTAATTATATATTGCTCCGTCTTTCTACGCATGTACGATATGTTATTATACAATCATATTTAAATATTCTCCAACTACGTATTCCTGTGAAACGTGTATCGTGACTTATTTTAGCTTGACTAATTAAGTTGACGATGATAATGTAGACGAAATGATAACATAAATAAAGGAAAAAGAGTCTTTATATTTATTTTTCTAATGTTTTTATCACATCATTTTTTCTTTTATATAAAAATTGAAGTTAATAAACTCATTTATTAAATACATGTATTCAATTAAACATGCTTGTAAAAATGACTTAAAAAATACACTAAATATTACTCAATAAACCAAGAATAACAACCATATTGCACACCACCATACGAAAGCCAAAAATACCTATGGATTCAGCTAATCTCGACGCCAAGAAAACCTGTGATTGTGGAAAACCAACACGCCAATCGTATATACTTAGCTCAGTCTCCTTGGCGCCCTCCCATTTTGGAAATTACTTGTGTTATCAATCAACAAATACCAAATCAAAGGGAAAGTAGTTATGTCTCTCAATATGCATCAAAAGTATTCATAAATCTTTAAAACACATCCACAAGGTCCAGTTAAAAGCATTGAATGATGCGGTAAGCAAAGGTTTAAGTTAGAATGGGAAATGCAAATTGTCCCTGCCTGCAAAGTATTGTGGAGGCACGTTATGTTGAGATGATGATATCTTTGTATTCTTATGTATGCCAGAAGGAAAAAAGAAAAGAAAACCTTATCCAGTCTAAAAGGTAAAAATAAAATTAAAGTTGTCGGCGTTAGTTTTCAAGATTATCCAAATGTTTTCTTAAATTTTGGCAAATTTTAAAAGTATTATTTTGAAATTAATTTAAATTATTTTGTTACAGTTTTATTAATTTTAACTCCTAAAATTTAGTTTGAGCATTAATAATAAAATTAACATTTTCAAATTTTTAAAGATGTATAAAAGGTTATAACTTAATGTGCCGCCGTGATCACATTTATGTTTTGGTCATGTTAATGGGCAAAAGAAAGAAAGAAAAAAATATATTAACGTAGAGTAGGAAAAGGATGAGATTGCAATATTACTCTATCTATTTTATAAAAGATTTAATTATTAAAATTGAGAAAAGTAATTAAATTAATTATATTTTTTATAAATGTAAATTTTATTTTAAAAATATTTATATTATTGAATAATATAGTTAATGTAGTCATTGTTAGGTAAACATATATTTAATAATAAAAAATTATATTAAAAATTTAACAATTAATATATCTCAAATTTATTTTATTATTTATTAAAAGTATAGGGGAAAATATTAGCTAAATGATCGAAGAAAATTCCTCTCTCTCTCTCTCTCGTTTTTTTCTCTTTTGTCAAGGGAGAGAGGAAAGGTATTAAATATTGGGCCCTTTATTTAATTTGTTTGTGATGTAATAAATAAATAACGGATGAAGGAAATAAAATGTTACTAAAATGCAAAGTAAGCTTTTAACAATATGCTTATAACTCGTTAATTTAGTTGACATCAGTAATTATTACTTCACACCGTAATTCAGATTTTAACGTAAACTTTATCGTTAAAATTAATTTAAATGCATATCCTAATTATTTTTAGCAATTATTTTACCAAAATTTAAAGCAAAACACCATTTAATGTCTGAGTTGTGGACCTTCACATGAAAGAACGGGATAACTAATAACAGTAACATGACCCGGAATGTACTGTTTCTGATGAGGATTTTCGCTTTCCCCTGTGACAATTAAAAGTTGTAGACAATAGTTAATACTCAGTTTTTGTGCGGCTCTTATTTTTCTTGTGTCCACAATGTCCTTGACTTACTCTGATCTCCACGCTAATGAACTGTGAAAGGATAATGATTTTGAAAAGAAATATGAACCGTAAAAGGGGAAATAATTGCTATTATTGTAGAGGGCACTCCCTGGATTATTAATGCCCCGGAATATTGTCATCTTCAGTTATTGACAGCAATACAATGACCAAGAAATATCTCCATGCCTTACATATATATCCTCATTCTTCATCATTATTTATGAGATTATTTTTATGATATGCAACCATATTATTGGCTAATAAAAATTCGACTACATTGGATAGCCAGGTTCAGGGTAAGTTCCTCTAACCCCCGGGTTCATCCTTAATCAAACTAGAACTAGTTAAGAAGACGAAAAAGCAATTCAAATGATTCTCCATACTTTACAGTAAAATAACAGAAATGCAATCATTATGTACTGGAATTAAATGAACCTGGTAAAAATTCACGTATTAACTAGTTGTACAGTTTTCCATAAAAATATAGATGACCTACCTAGTTTTATAATATGCTGAATAAAAATACACTTTTGCAGCAATGAAAAAGATTTTTTTTTTTACCCTATTTAGAGTGTATATATCCCATTGAATGAAAGAGAAATGGGAAAGGAAGAAGGAAGAGAAACATAAATCATGCAATAAGTGATATAATAACAAAGAAAAAGCAAAGTTGAAAGCAAGGAAATTAAGGTAATTAAAAAAGAAATATAAGAGAAAATGGGTGTAGAAAATATGAAAGTTCCTCTAACAATTGCTATGTTATGTGTTCTCCTTCTAAATATATTTATTTTGTTAATGCTATTTTTACTACTTTAACTAATTTTTTGTTTATTTATGTTTTGTACTTTTTTACTGGCATATATACTTCGACTACTACGTACACAGTCAAAAACTGCCTTAACGTAAGAGATAATTAAATGGAACTGAACATAACCAAAACTTCAAAGGGCTAAAACATGTCTCATTGTAACATATCAAGTGCAGGAGAGAGTCTAACATGATCTACCCCTCAAGAAAACATCTGCTACATAATATTCCTCACTTCTACTCTCAGAATCAAATTTTGTAAATATATACTCAAACATAAAAAAAACTCATTCCAATTATATATATATATATATATATATATATATATATATATTATTAATACATCTATATACAATTATCAAAAGTAAACCAAAAAAGAAGCTGAATCTGAATACGAGGTTGTGGAAGCAAAAAGAAGGTTCCGGAGACCACCAAATCGTATGCTATGCCGTGGAAGGAGGTGCTCCGTCACCCTTGTCAGCACCGCCGTGTATTCTCCCAATATCCCCGCCATGCTCACTACCATTATCATATTTCTTGGAAGAAAAGAACTTTACAGAGAGGAATCTTCACTCTTCTTCAGGGTCCAAGAAATTAAGCCAGCTTCTTTCTCTTTTTATATATACATGGGTTTAATATAGTTATTACTAATGGACTTGTGTCAAGGGAGTTTTGAACTGAGGGGTGAGAAACTGATATGAAAATGTATAAAGCACAAGCGGTTAGGCCAAAAGGATTCGATTCTGGCACTTTCTGTGAAATGTACAGGGATTAGGCACATTCATAATTAACTGATTTTATGTAATGATTACAACAATGATGATATAATATATACGGTATTATTATATTATATCAAAATAAATGGATTCATCAACTACTGTTTATTTGGCTGGACTCAATTACGTGAAAATGGTAGTCATCATCATGGTGATAATGCATTTATTTTAATCATGTCTGACTTTGAGTGGTATTTGATAAACCAATATTTACATGTCTTTATCAAATAGTTCAAGCTTTTGAATAGTAACATATTTAATTTGTACAAGGAAAAAAATAACTAACACACATCAAAAATAATATTTAGAATTTGATATTCAAATTGTAAAATTCTTTTTGAAATAGTTTATTATTAAAGTATCGATATGAACTTCAAATAATTGCTTCCATTCTTTTAGCAAATGTACGCATGCAGTTTTGTCCACGCTTAAAGTCTTTACATGAGAAACATGTTAAATTATTCTTGTATTTACTCACTTAACATTTTAAGTTTTTGAGGATATTATTGAAAGAAATGTTGGAGAACATGGGTTTGGATGTTTTGAAGATGAAGTTTCGTAGATGTATGCGTTGACTATATTAGGCGGGGCTTATTTTGTCTAACTGGTTCGGAAATATGCCTGCCATGTGATCTGTCTAACTAATGTTTGCCAACACATGGAAGGTTTGGCCGAACTGAATTGCGAGCTTCAAATATGTGATAATTGAGTATATTATTGAGTTAGAAATGCTTGAATCTCAATGGGTCATCACTAGCTAGCTAGTGACGAGGAGTGTGTGTGTGATCATGATGATCATAATTGTGAGATTAGATTCAATGAAGAAACCACCAAAATTGCAATACAAAAAGGGAATAATGCAAGGATAAAGAAGCCCAAGTATAAACAAGTGAAGTAAGGAACGTATCCAAATCACATTTTCACAAGGCACGCATTATTCTCTTCCCTTTCACTGGTTGCTTTATATGTCTATAAAATAATATGATTGAGTGAAAACCTTTTTCCATGCTGTCAAACTTAGACACCGAATCTTAGTTAAAGCTAAAAAGTGTTACGTGAGAAGTCCCACATAGGTGGGAACTTCAAAGGTAGGACCCTTTCTTTGTCTATATAAGGGCTAGGGGTCCACTAATTCATATATCTCAAATCTTCTTTTCCTCTCACTCTTGTACTATATAAAGTTCTTGTATTTAGTAGTTGTATTTAGTAGGGGTGGTTTTTTATTGTGAGGAGTGAGTTTTAATAAATAGAAAGGGGAAGTGTAATTTTTCTTCTAATAATTATATATTGTCTTTATTATTTCTTTTTTAGCTCTTATTTTTTTTATCTTTATTTTAGTTGTGTTATTATATTGGTACTTTGGTCCTAACAGTGGTATCAGAGTTTTTAGGTTGTTTATATTATTCTGTTATAGTGTATATTAATATAGTGTCAGAG